AATAAAAGGTGGCTTCCCATTCATCATCTCATCCAAACCTCACAGTAACTTGGTGACACAGGGTTCATAGCACCATTTCAAGAATGAATACACTGAAATTCAGAGAACAGTTATTTACACAAGAGGCTCAAGAAGTTGACAGACCTGGAACTGGAGTCTACCTCCTATTACAATTCGGGTTTCTCTATGACACCAAAAAAGCCCCTTTATTTTAGACTGTTTCTTATTAAGATAATTTGACTTTTAAGCCAGATAACCTGGAATTATAATTTATATTATTTTGGTACAATCTTGACACCCCAAAACATGAACAAACATAATCACAATCTCCACATTTCTTCTGCTTTATAAAATGCAGCCACATTTTGGGTGAGGTAGGATTTATAGAGTGTAGTTATTACTTAAGGAGAAACTGGGCTAGAAACCAGATCTTTAGACCATGTTACTAGCAAGGCTGTAACTGGATTTCTTCCCGGCTTTAGTTGTTTGCTCATAACATATTACAACCCATTTTCTACAATACATTGGTGCAAAACTTTCTTACATTTATTCAGGAGGAGTAATTGAAAAGTTATCTCAGGAAAGGGGTAAAATCCTCGGTCACCAAGACATTGGGTTGGGGTGGGAGGGAGAAGAGAACAGAAAGAGGAGGAGAGATGTAGGTCAACCAGAGGCCTACTCTAGGGATGAGAAGAAAATGTGAGAATGCCATTGACTTGTCAGCAAAGGAGAAACTGTGTGAAGTTGGGGAGTCAGGGAGTGTTCAGAGAAGTACTGGCAGTTATCTGAAAGGTTTTGGGTGAATGAAGAGCTCCACTTACATGGGTATAAATGTCTTAAGAGGATTCCAGGCTAGATAAGGTTCCTGCATAATTTCAAGGCAAGAAGTTGTGGAACAGGTTTTGTGCAAGATAGCAAGACAGCCTAATTTTTGGTGGGGCGAGGGGAGGTCCTGACTCATTTATAGCCCTTTCTCTCTCTCTCCTCCTTAGCACCCAAAGCCCACCCACATGTGCCATCTGATTGCACCTTCATCTACTGAGCTAGTCCTCACCTACCATGCTGCCTGCACCTCCCTCTTCCCCTGAGAACTCCACCTCAGCATGTCTTCAAGGGCACTGACCTGCCTGAGAAATCAGGACATCTTTTCTACTCCCTACCCCACCAGTTCTCACGTTTCCACAAAAACTTATCTCATCTAATAGTTGCCAAGAAAGTAACTTGATAACTGATGACTTCATGGATTAAGTACCTCAGGTCCTTTACGGTTTATGTGATTAAAAAATAAAAGGTACTTGTTAACCTCAAAGGCTACAGACATTAATGACTGGATTTTACCATAAAAATTTTAGATCATTTTTTTTTGTGGTGCATATCAACGTATACAAGGAAGACAATTCATATTACTATATTATGCTATAGACAAGATCAGATTGTATCATGAAAGTGACACAGGATGGTAACCATTGTGCTGTCCCCTCAACATGCAATGAAGAGCCTACCTTTGAAGAATTATCTACGAGAGTAGTTTACCTGGTAAATAGCTAAATTTGAGGGGACATGGCAATGTGGCAAAGGAATTGCTTCAAAATTTATGAGTCTGATGAGGCACAGGAAGAAACAGGGACAAATATGTAGGATGCTCAGTTGCTTTGTTGCAAATGTCCCCTGCTGTGTTTATGGCCCATTTGATATGTGCTAAATTAGCACAGGTTTCTCCTTGAATCCATACAGAGACCTAGAAAGCTGAGGCCTAAAAGCAGATCCTACTAGTCAAAGTAGATTCATAATTTTTTTAAAATGTCTTTACTTAATACAATGAGCAAGATATAAGAAAAGTGACAATCAGGATTGGGTTTAATGACTCCTCTAACTTCCTCTCTCTCAGCTCTTTCCATGGGATGAAGTAAATCAAGGAATTTCTCAGTGCTTTCCTTAGAGTCTTTGGATTTTCCATTGAACTTTGATGGCATCCTGAGGAAATGCCACCAACTCATCTGTGTATTGCCTCTTACTCTAGCCTCTTCTATAAAAGAATTCTGTCATGGCAACACAATCCCTATGCTTTCCCTACCTTTGTTATTCATTACCTGGCAAAACAGACCTTACCTGATTCAGCATTTACCTTTGAACTTTATATTTCACAATTTTGTAATTATAGTTGATCTAATTTTCATACTCAATTTTTAAGAAAGGGAATTTTGAGACCAATGAAATAGCCACTAGCAGTTTATAGACTGAAACATACAAAAAGAAATACAGAAGTAAGAACATTGCAAATGCTTTCTCATCATGGACTCCTTGGTGACAAGATGATTATAAAAGCATTAAGATACTTTTAAGGCCAAATTTCAATACTAAGAAGTACAAATGATAAATATCAACAAGTGCTATCCTCTATTATTTAATGCCAAAGAATTGGAAAAGCACTCAAATTAACACAGTATACTAAGCAAGAAAGTAATACATATTTATTTTGGCAAAAGGACCTGCCTCTGTAAAGTTCTTTGCTCATCTAATGTAGATTGAGAAATGAATCAGACCGAATATGATTCATTGGATTAGAATGTTTCATTTAGCTTAAAGACAATTGTCTTTTTAAAAGTGTATCATTTATGTGGTTGGAGTTTCAAAAAATTGTGAATAAAGTATGTAAACTTAAGATCTGAATGCTCGTCTCTGGACAAGTTGAAATTAGTATTCACAATAGCAAACCACATCAGAGGACATGGTGAGTTCAGGGCAGAATCCTCACAGTTGTAACTTGTACCTCTGAAATGGTTACATTATTCAGCAACAAATTTTCCACATATTCAAATTTGCTCACTTGTAACTTGTGTTAACTAAAAATTCATTCCCTAATTAGCACATTTTGGAAGGTGTTTTAAAAGCGGCTTGTTTATAACAGTTGCTGGTATCACTGGAATTCAAAGTGATGCCAACTGAATGCCACTTCAAATAAAAACTTCTTTTATTCTGGCAGCAGAAAAGAGCAGAGGCACACAGTAGCTCTTGATTTACGAACTGTGTTTTCTAACTCTCAGACTCCCCCAATGTGTGTAGTTCCCTTGAAGGAAGTGAATGTAGAGCATTTAACAAGAAAATGATTCTATCTCCAAATCTGATTTTTAATTTGAAATCATACGGGCCTTTAATCATCACTGGTCCCATTCTCATGCCCCATAGGATCAGGTGGGAGAGTGGAGACTGAGACGTATTGTTCAATGACGAATTGGACAGGGACCTCCAATGGATGGTGCATGTTATGGACAAAATTTGTGGCAATATTTCATGGTCGACATTCCAGTAAGCAATTTGGCAGCCCAGAGTCACATCCTAAAATTGTACCATTGCGTCCCCCAAAACACAGTTTTGTGCTCATGAAGGAAAGGATGTTAACGACTCAAAACAGATCTGGAGAATGAGTGGATAAAGCGACCGACAGGCAGGAGAGGGGCAGAGAGGAATCGATACATGCCTTGCAAGATTTTTCAGCAGTAAGCAGAGTCCATCCTCGTAAGTGGTCCACTAAACAAAGAGTTTATTGTAAAGTGGGCCCCAATCCCTGGAGGAAAAGAAAAATGATTCTCTTTCACTGCAGGGAAGTTAACCCTTTCTGCCTTTTTGCAGCAGGGAAGATGCTAAGTATGTACTTAGTGATTAATTTCCCTGGTTGGCTCCAATGGGTCTCAAGGTTGGAACAGCACTTACTCATACTGTATTTTCTGTGCAGTGGACTGGCAGATCCTCTAAAGTTTCCCTGTTATACTCCCTTTATCCCATCTCGCAGAGCCCGACTGTGTAGAACACATATTCTAATAATTACTAAACCATTAAAATTAGGCTGCAGTTACTTCTTTCTTCTTTGGCACAGAAGTAACTAAGGACAATTTTGACATTGCATTTTTTAACTTTACTTTCAGATTTGAGCTGGGAAATCCATTGGCCCGTATCATGGATGCTTAACATGATAAGAACTAAGAACTGTACATTCTGTCTTGATCTTTTCAAGACTAAATTTGAAGGGAGAAAAATTATTTCGCTTAGGATAGCTGTGAAAGCATCAGAAAAACACTGAAGAGCTGGACAGAAGGGTCCAATTGTAGCATGCTCCCTTTAAGAGGGAAACAAGATTAGCAACTTTGGCAAATTTTCGGCTTCTAGTCAGAGGGGAAGAGAAGAGCTGCCAGTGTCCCAAAAAAAAAAAAGAAAGAGAAAGAAAAAAAAAGATGGATGTTATGAGACAAAGGTAGAAGCAATTTTACACCTTGCTGAGAGCTTGCCTGGGAGTGGTTTTAACTCTTCTGGGATAAAGAAACATTTTTTTTCTTTCAAGACTAAAGGTGGAGCTAGGGGAAAAGGAGTTTAACGTGAAGTAGGTGCCTCTGTAGTTCTGTTCTGTCCTGGGAAGTACACAAGGAAGAAAGGCGTCCGTGGAAAAAAGAGAAAGTAGAGCAAGAGGCCCTGAAGGTGAGGGATTGCCCATTATAGCAAGCAGTATGTAAGTAGCATTATCATATGAAAGTAGAAACTCCTTCTTGCATCCTTGTCTTAAGGAAAACCATTTGACTTAGAAAGCTTATACGACTGCTGGACACATATTTGAATTATAGTTTGTCTTTTTATATTATAGAATATGTTGTTTTCTAAATGCCATCATGCAATAGGAGTCTATACAAATAAAGCAATTTCTTTTTTAATGTCAGGTCAGAAAAGGTAGGGAGGCATCATCTGGTATAATCACAGTGTTTATTCAAGCCTTATGCATACATAAAAATGTTATTTTCTCTAATTGCATATTTTATTCCTATAATGACTGAGTTTGGATTCTAAACTGAAATGAGTAATCAATATTGAGTGCCTCTAATGTTCAAATGCAGTCTTAGCTATTTTAGGTGGCATAGCACTGCTCCAAATTTGGCGAATTGCTGTAAAGATGTAAAGATGGAAATGGAAAGCTAAAGCTAAAGTTTGTTTAATTTTTTTTTTTTTTTTTTTAGATTTTAACTGAAAACTCAAACCAAAACAATAGCAACGCACCTAGAATTATTACTACTACAAAACACACCTGGATGCTCTAAGGACACAGGAAAGAATGAGCTATTACGGCAGCAGCTACAGGATTGTCAACGTGGACTCCAAATACCCCGGCTACCCCCCAGAGCACGTTATAGCTGAGAAGAGAAGAGCAAGAAGACGTCTGCTCCACAAAGACGGCAGCTGTAATGTGTACTTCAAGCACATTTTCGGGGAATGGGGGAGCTATGTGGTCGACATCTTCACCACTCTTGTGGACACCAAGTGGCGCCATATGTTTGTGATATTTTCTTTATCTTACATTCTCTCATGGTTGATCTTTGGCTCCATCTTTTGGCTCATAGCGTTTCACCACGGAGATCTGTTAAATGACCCGGACATCACGCCTTGTGTCGACAATGTCCATTCTTTTACAGCGGCGTTTTTATTCTCCCTCGAGACCCAAACCACCATAGGGTACGGCTACCGTTGTGTCACCGAAGAATGCTCTGTGGCAGTGCTCATGGTGATCCTTCAGTCCATCTTAAGCTGCATCATAAATACCTTCATCATCGGGGCCGCCTTGGCCAAAATGGCAACTGCTCGGAAGAGAGCCCAAACCATACGTTTTAGCTATTTTGCACTCATAGGCATGAGAGACGGGAAGCTTTGCCTCATGTGGCGCATTGGTGACTTCCGACCAAACCACGTGGTAGAAGGAACAGTTAGAGCCCAGCTTCTCCGCTACACAGAAGACAGCGAAGGGAGGATGACGATGGCATTTAAAGACCTCAAGTTAGTCAATGACCAGATCATCCTGGTCACACCAGTAACTATTGTTCACGAAATTGACCACGAGAGCCCTCTGTATGCCCTTGACCGCAAAGCGGTAGCCAAAGATAACTTTGAGATTTTGGTGACGTTTATCTACACTGGTGATTCCACTGGGACATCCCACCAATCTAGGAGCTCCTACGTTCCCCGAGAAATCCTCTGGGGCCACAGGTTTCACGATGTCTTGGAAGTGAAGAGAAAGTATTACAAAGTGAACTGCCTGCAGTTCGAGGGAAGTGTGGAGGTATATGCCCCCTTTTGCAGTGCCAAACAGTTGGACTGGAAAGACCAGCAGCTGCACAACATGGAAAAACCACCGCCAGTTCGAGAATCCTGCACATCAGACACCAAAGTCCGACGAAGATCATTTAGTGCAGTTGCCATTGTCAGTAGCTGTGAAAACCCCGAGGAGAACACCACTTCTGCCCCGGATGAGTGTAAGGAAGCACCTTATCAGAAAGCTTTTCTGACTTTAAATAGAATCTCTGTAGAATCCCAAATGTAGTCCTAAGTTGTAATTACGAGGGGTACCCCTCGATCATTTTACTCTCCAGCCAATCACCTTAAGGCAAGTAGTTGTAAACATGGCTTGTGAACAATGTCATAGCTATGTTTTATGGTGACGGTGAGTAAGTTGAGTAGGTTAAACTTGGTAAAAGATAACTTAAAAAATGCCGTAGTTCTGAAATATTAAAAGTTTTCTTGCTAGCCTATCTTGAATTAAGAACGCTATTAATTGATTAGAATTCATTTCCTTTTATTATCTCATATATTTATGTCTTCGATTGGAGGCACACAGTATTTAGTAATGGGGAACAAGGGCAGGAATGAATGCTGGAATAAATAAATAAAAAAAAAACAGGAAGACAAATAAGCCAGCATGAATAATACATTTTTAAGTATATAAAAAATGATAACATAATGTGTGATTTCCTACCAAAAAAATCATATCATCTAACCAAGATATATACAATATGAATTCAAAAAACTGTAATGTTGAGCTATGTGACTGTGAGATCCATTCACCAGTTTGAGTCACTTTGTTTGCCTGTCATAGTGTCTTAGTGTCAGCAAGCAGAGGTAATTATATATAATGGCTGCAAGAAACTGATAATGCCACCAATTCCACTGCCACTTACCCAGGTAGTGATCAATGAGTGCCAGAAGCTATTTTTTTCTCTAACTGGTGAGGTAGAAGAAAAATCGACATCATGATTCAGAGCAGCATCTCTCTTAAATGCCCTGGTTGATGCCAACACATCAAGAGCAAAAGTAAGGCAATCATGACTTTTCTGGGTTCTCTGACAAAGGGGACTTCCTAGGGCCACCTCCCTCCTTCCCCAGTGACATGATGAAGGGACAGGATCATGCCCATAGAGGTGAAGGGATGGTTAGTGGGCAGCTATAAACATTCTCAGACTCTTTGAGAGAAAATGTTGCTTGCCTGTGTCTGGAAAGACTGCAGCTTTGGCTGCTACATAAGAGAGAGAATCTTTTGTGGGGAGGGAGGCATTTTTTTTGTGCCCAGCAGTAGTAATGTATGCGTCCTTCTCTTGGTCGCTTTACAAGGCATAAATGACTTCAGTCGTGGAGTTTAAGAAACTCTTTCACTGAACTTGGAACAATCATTTAAATGAACGCTTTTGTGAAATAGAATACAATCAAGATGATTCTAATGCACATCAAGTCGGTAATCTGAGTTGTATGAAGTTGCTTAAATTTTAGGACATGAGATAAATGTGTATCCTCTATTTCCACGTTAAAAGATGTTAATCATGATTACATTAAGCATATATCCAATTACCTAAGAGCAAAGAGTCACTTTAAGCTTTATAAATTGAAGCGTTATTAGCTACATTCAGAATTATTTGTGTTTTGTTTTTGTTTTTACTTTGTTGATGAGCTGGCGGTACTGTGCCACAGTTTTTACTTGTTTATGAGCTGGCGGTATTGTGCCATAGTTTTTACTTGTTTATGAGCTGGCGGTATGTGCCACAGTTTTTACTTGTTTATTTTATTTAAATATACATACATCATTTTTGTTTTTTCTGGAAAATCCCTTTCTCTCATTTAAATTAAACCACATGAGTAAATAAAAATAAATCACATGGTCCAAGATTATCAACAAAGGTAAAATAAACAGGTATGTAAAGTGTTCTTTTGCCTTCTTTCTTTCTTTCCATTTTCCTCATTTTTCTCCTTTCTTCCCTCCCTCCCTCCTCCTCCTCTTCCTCCTCCGCCTTCTTCTTCTTCTTCTTTTCTCTCTCTCTTTTCTTTTCTTTTTTTTTGCCAAGGAACAATAAGGTTACTTTTTAAATGCACATGTGCAAATCTTTAATTCGTATTGGTTTATGGATGAGAAATTTGTTCAGGTCACAAGTCACAATTCCTTCCCTGCTTCAGGGATACAACCCCATTTTTAAAATTACATTCGCACTGTAGTTATAGATTTCATAGCAGCAGTTCCTTGGCTAAATTAGAGTTATACTAAGTAGAAGAAAACCACCACCACAACAAATACAATGATTAAAAAAATTTTTTTAGCTTGTTTCACCCACGTCTAGTTTCATTTCTCTTCGCTTTGCTTTCAGGACTATGCCTGTCCCTGAGGCTTGCCTTGTCAATACCAGGATAAGGGCATCAGTGTCCAACTAAACACATGTATGTGCTATGTGCCTCTGCCATCAAACCCTCTTACCCAAAATAGAATGTAAAATCAGAATTTCAGTGTAATAATTATATTTAATTTCTGCGTAGATTTATATAACATACTTTGACACCCCCAATGAGTTACTTAATAATAAAGATCTTAAAATGATGCAAAAAGCGTGTGCGTATACCTCTATTCCCAGTGGTGTGAACTCTGTTTGCTGATGTAGTCAGCATGGGGTACAGTGTATCACAAAACGAGAATGCTCCTCATATAATTAGAACACAAGCAGCATTGTGTGAAATTATTGAATGAAGTTAATTAGATGGAAAACAAATTGTGGCATCAAGGTATTGCTCCACCATCTGTGAACAAGGCCCTTGAGGAATGAATAATCCCAGGAAGAGAGAAGAAAATATTATTTTCACGTGCCACCAGTTTATCAAGCAGCTGCAGTATTTGACGCAGATATATTGAATCCTCACAACAAAACAGTAAGGTGCATATTTTAAATTTCCATTTCGTCAACCAATTCTCTGCTTTCTCCTAAAAAGAAATTCCTAACTGGGACAACAAATGTGCTCAGGTTTAAAAGAAATTGCAAATAGACTGCCCAGTCTCCCACACAGCTGGAGGTGGGGTGGGAGGGGTCTTTAATCACAGTGTTAAAGTTTCTGGCGCATGAGATGTCAACAGGAATCTCTGGGTGTGGCCTTCATGAAAGCTCTTTTATAGGGGCTGACTTAGCTGGCACATGCCCTGTCACTCTCCCTGCTCACCCTCTCCCCGTCTGGCCAGTCTTGATAGCTGAAGTTCTTGCAGCCACCTTGTGAAAGTGCAAATCAAACACAACCCCTGCAAGGGAAAATAGAAAGGAAAGAGGGCAGCCCAAGATTGCATATCTCCAGACTTCTTTTTCATGAGTAAAAGTAAGTATGATTTTTCTGACACAGCGAGCAATATATCTAAGGGAATTATCTAGGAAACAAGGCTGGTAAGAAAAAAAAAATGATGTACAATTTAGGTCCAACTTGTACTTGTCCATGACATTTGTCGTTGCTGTGGAAACGACACATTTTCTGGGGAGTTGAGGAAATGCCACTATTATTGTAAAACAAACACAAAAGAATTGCTTTTGGCCTGGAAATCCCTCTGAGACACTGGTGGCTGAGTGGCCTTGATAAAAGGATTGACCAGGCCTGCTCTCTGCTGCCCTTTTCCTTCTTACTTCCTCACAACAGAATATGTTCTGTGTTTTATTGGAACTTTCACTAGGACAAATGGTTTAAAATCCACAGAGATTTGGGTAAAGCCAGCACGGTATGACTCAGGCAAAAAAGAAAACTCTGCTAATATTGTCTCAGGACACCCTCCCCCCCCCCACCAAACCAACCTACATCAGATATTCAGAACATTTGAGGGGACTTTAAACACACACCAAGGAACCTGGTCCTTACTTTAAATATTTGTATTTCATTATATCTGAATTGGCCAGGACATATGCAAAGGAGATTCTCTGGTCCACTCCTATTTAAGTGATTAGGCACCAGATTCGACTCAGTCAAAAATATTCTTCTAGTCCCATCCATGACAAGCCTTGATTTCTCTGTCCTGAAAGTTCTACAAGGTGTGCACAAAATCCTGGGATTTTTAAGGTAAGTTTGCCTGTGAATTTCTAGAAACCACACCTATGCCTATAAGGCCTGTGGTGCTCTATAAATCACAAAGCCCTGCCTCAATTCCAAAATTAGTCTGGCTTCTCTCTCTCTCTCTCTCTCTCTCTCTCTCTCTCTCTCTCTCTTTCATTTTTAAAGGAGCAGTATGACCTATACTTTAGAGAAAAAAGATTTTAGCACCGTAAGCAAAATGCAAAGGGGCAAGTAACAGAACACACAGGTTAAGCAGCAGGGAAGCACTAGGTAAATTCTCTGCAGAGGTTCTCCTGGATATGAGGTCTTTGAAAATAAAACCTAGTGAAATGGGACTGAGTTCAGATAACTCTGTAGGGAGTGAGCAAGCAAGGTTCCCTACAAGGGGCATTTTCCTAAAGAGACATGGTCATGGTGTCACCTAGAAACCAGCACTGGTCTGTATTGCTTTGGAGCTTTGCTCCAGTAAGGAAAATCTTATCTCTGGGTCAATTCCCAAGGGTTTCTCTAACTGCTCTTAGTTTACTAAAGCAACTGAACACACTCCTCTTATGACTGTGTGGTTGGATCATGAGATTTGGCTGGGGGCAAGCAGCCTCTTGCCTCATCCTGCCACCCTGCTCTCCTTTCCTTGGAAAGGTCTGTGGCTGTGGTTTGGGATCCTTTGTGCAGAGTTTAGAGACTGAGATCGACATCCCTAAATGTTTCAAAGTGCTATAGACTCAGTTGCTAGCAGGGAAAATAAAATAAATAAAATAAACTATTGCCATTTGCTGTTTGGTCTCATTAATTTATTCTATTTTATAAATACTGTAAAGTAAAAGGATACTGTGGCTAGGATCTGTCTCCTGTTCCCCCCCCCCCTAAAAAAAAGCAGCTGGACAGAGATTGAGAGTCTTGCAAATAAATAAAGCAATCCATGCTGGGTAATCACTCATGTCGGGCCCTGGATGGAAACTTTAGAGACTCCTCAGGCTGCAGTGAAACAGGTTAATTATTTAAAGCATTTCAGCAAGCCTGATGGATGAAAACCCAAACAAATAGATTAAGTCTTGCTAAATTACATAGCCAAAGAGTGCTTTTTTCTCTACGCTATCATTTACCACAGGGGCCTATAAAATGACCTTAATCGCTATCTAAGCAACTTGAACTTGAGATACAAAGAGCCCCGAGAGGTTTACTCACTGTGAAAAACTTCTTTACAGAAAGTTATCAGAAACCTTCCAATTTCCACATAACATACTTCGGTCACATGCAATACTCACTGTGGTTAAATGCCCTTTATTAGAATTAGAAGCACATGTTGGAGATCAATTATTTATTGTGCTGCTGGTTGATTCTTTGTGACACTAGTTTGCCCGAGGAAGGCAGGCCAGCCACAGGGGCCGGGTTAAGGACATAGCGAGCCGCTGCCAGCCACCAATTCCAGAACCAAAGATTTTTAGGACATCAGAGGACATAAAACTCATTTAATCAGATCCCAATTTACATGGAAGGAAACCTCCGACACAGAGAAGTTATCTGCCCAAAGAGACACAGATGTGAAGGGAGGGACAGAAGAGGAAGAAAACACAGTGACCAATGACCAA